TTAGCTTAGTGAGTAAAGCGTGCCCCTGATAATTGCATCGTTGTGCTTGTGAGGGCTCTCAGCCACATGGATAGTTCAATGTGCTCATCGGTGCCTGACGCTAAGATGTGGATTATCCAAGGAACATTAGCATGGCGTACATCTCCTGTTCGTACAGGGGTTTGAAACCAAACTTCTCCTCAGAAGGACAGATGGGGCGATTCAGGTGAGATCCAATGTAGATCCAACTTTCGATTTTCTAAGAGAAAGAACCACTTTAACAAGTGAAGAGCACATTTTTTTCTTACCTTATTTCATGTAACAAATATTTTCTTATTGCTATTTGTAGTATTGTGTGTATCTTGGATTGTTTAGATAGGTTCTGTATCCTATCTCTTCTGCAAACAATGTGTAAAATTTGTATTGATCTTCTTTACAAATATATAATTTTTAGAACTGAAAGTTTCTGTATTTGTATTCATCCCCCCCCCCTCTACAAATTGTTACTTATAAACTCTTGTAGATCCTACTGGGGCCAACAATCATCTTTAGGTTGAAGGAGGATGAGAGATTTGAAGATGGCTTCGCAGCTTTCTTCGACCTGCATTCACTAGCAAAGTGACCTTTGTGTTCTAAGTTGTAGCAGCTAGCTGAAGCCTTGTCAATAGGCTTTGACTTTGTCTTGTCATCTATGGTCAGGGGAGGAGATCTGCAAAAGTTGCTTTTTCAGGTGAACCTCCTGAAAGAGTTAGTAAAGAGGGCCAATGACTCATCAAACTCTGAAAGATCAGCGTCTGTCAATTCCTCAGAGTTAGAAGGAACTAAATCAATGATAGAAACAAAAGGGACTAGAAGAAATAGAAGAAAGGCTATCAGAGATCAAAGCTAACGGAGAACTTTTCATTTCTCTGGAGTCTTTTAGAAGATTATTCTTCAGCTGACAAAATTGCTCATGATTAAGTAATATCCCATAAAGAGAACTGAGGGAAAGGGAGGACATCTTTTTAAACATCTTGAAACATATGGTATAATTATCCCATGATTCTTGCAAACTTTTAAGAAATTTTGTCAGCGTCTTTGAGTTGGAATATTCTCTTCCAACTATCCTCAAATCAATAAGAAGATAATTAAAGCGTTGATGTACTTCAGACAACAATTCAGATTTTCCACAGAGAAAACTTTCATATTGCCTTACTAAATTTATCTTTCTCGATTCTTGTACATCCGAAGTACCTTCATATTGAACATATAGAGTGTCCCACATGGTTTTCAAGGTTTTAGGCTTCATCACGAAGTGATAGACCTCATCAGAAAGAGCCATGGATATTATAGATCTTGCACGAGTATCTAAAGCCATCTTCTTCTTGTTTTCGTCACTCCACTGATGAGGCAGCTTCAAAATCTATCGTTCAGGAATTGCGGCAGTCATAGCAGTAGTAGAAACTGCTGGAGAGATTGTGAATGGCATATAAGGTCCATTCTCATGTAGTATGGAATCTCATGATCCATACCCTCTAAGAAAAGAGACATCCAATTTTTCTAGAGACTATGTTGTCTCTGATGAACCGGGGATGTTTGGCAAGAGAGTCATTGTCATAAAAGTTTGTGCTTGTATTTTGCAAAGCCATTTGAAAGGTAAATAAACTATCTAGAAAGAAGAGATAACAAAACACCAATAAAACACTAAAACAAACACTGCTCTGATACCACTTATTGGTCCCAGCCGGATCTACAAGAGTTTATAGGTAACAATTTGTAAAAGGGGGGGGATGAGTATAAACACAACAACTTTCACTTTAAAAAAAGTTATATTGATAAAGAAGATCAATACAAATTGTTACAGATTGTTTGTGAAAGAGATGAGATACATAAATTTTCTAAACAATCAAAGATACACACAAGTTACAGATAAAAATAAAGAAAAGAGTTGCTAAATTTTTTTTGTTAAGAAGGTCTTATGCTCTTCACTTGTTCTAGTGGAAGTCTTGAGATAGAAGACGAAGACTGCTAAGAAGAAGTTCTCAGCTATTTATATTCATTGCATTAAATGCAATTCAGAAGATACAAAAGCACGTGGCAAGCTTCAAGAGGTGAGTTTGTCCTTTGTTGCAAATATACAGGCTTTTGGTTGTATATGAAGGATTTCTGGTGTGAGTTTTGTCTTCCAAAAGGATACTTGTCTCTGAAGGAATTACAATACATGTTCAGCGATCATTGAACAGACTTAGTGATGATCGCTGAAACTGAATACAACAATAGTACACTTCGTAAGTTAAAAATTATTATCATCAAATCACTAAGAGAGTGGATCAAGAGGTTCTTTCCTCCTTTATAGGTAATGGGTCACGGTTTCCACCGCAACCTATCATAACTAGTGGAATGATTGAAAATAACACGTGTTTAAACCTATACTTTTGGGCATGATCACATCACCTTTCTTCAAAAAAAGATGGAATATATATATGAATAAAGTTTCATATGCTTCAACCTTAGGAAGTTTGGTATTCCCTTCTTTACAAAATAAATGTCCACAATAAAAATGATACATAGTTTTAGGAGTGTGTAATTGTTACACTTTTTAAATAACTAAATGTCATATTTATCTTTAAAATAGAGAAGAAAAAAATTCATCACATAATTAAGGATAAAATAGGAAAGTGAACACTTAATTTTAAAAGTGAACACTTATTTTGTAACAAATTAAAATAGAAATGTAAACACTTAATTTGGATCAAGAGAATATAAGTTGTGGTGCGTTCAAGGCCTCATATATAGCTCTTTTAGTATGCGTGGTTAGCTGTTTTCTATTAAATCCTATAAGTATTAGGATGGAACTAAATGGATTTTTAAATTTCTATAATCTACTTCTAAGTCAGATATAATAACATTTGATGATGAGAAGCCAATGGTTGCGGTATACAGATTTTTATACGACAAGAAAAGGATAGTATCAAATACATTTCTCCATATTCATAACCTTTATATGGATATTCAGGCAAGGTTCTAAATGACGTGAGACGACGAGGTCAAGCCTTACCCGTTATGATGAAACCATGACGCTTTTGAAGACGTACCCTAAGGCAGCAATATATATTTAGGGGTTAAATCATTTGAGAAACAAAAAAAAACGTTGGAGACCTTAAGGAATAATCTAATTTATAGATTAGTTTAAATCCATGGTCATCAAAGAAAAAGAAGCATACTTGTAATAAAATTGTGAAATAAGGATATTTTTGTCAAATTGGAAGTAGCGGTAAATTTTTAATTCCAAATTGTTTTTCATTCTTTCACCTAAAATCTTAGAAACTTAGAATCTAAGTGGGTGAGTAGGGAAAAACCTCCGAAAATGAAAAGCTTCTTGTTCTTCTTCTTCCGACCCATTTCAACATGGTTTAGTTTCATCCACAGTGGTAATCTGCAGAAAGTTAAAAGAAAATCGAGGGGTTCTCATAAAGATTGTCTAGAAACCCAAATCGAAATTGAAATCGAAAAATCTGATTTGATTCTAGTATTTCATCTAGAAAAACAAGATGAATCACTTATTCACTTTATGAAAATACATTCAAATATGTGATTCACCTTATAAAATAATATATATATATATATATATATATATATATATATATAATGCGTCCGGACTTGAAAAAATGTGATTTACTTGTATAATATCCTTATGAAATAATTTCATAAGGCGAAATAAATACTGTCATTATTAATCTTATAAAAAGTTATTAAGTGAAGTACATGGCATGTTTGAATTTGTAGTTGAATCTGTTTTATAAACTGAAATAATGTCTTTCTAGAATCCATATAATGAATATGTTTAATAAAAATCAACAACGATTCATCTTCTGGATTTATTCATAAAAAGAAACATTGAATCTGTTTATGAAGCAAATTCATAAGATTCACCTAATGAATTGACTTGCATTTGAAATTTAACTGAATTATGGAATTTGTAATATGAATCTCTTTCATATAAGGATAATCATAGATCTAAATCTTGTAACATAATTCAATTGGTGAGTACGTGTTTCATTTGGTGAATATTTATTTCCATCGACCAAATATTGAATTTCAATCACCTGAATCTTGAATCTGAAAATCTTGAAATACAAAGATTGAGCACACAAAAGGAATGGAATGTCTTAAAAAAGAAAACTATTTAATTATGAAAAGTTTATATCACATTTGTTACCAAAATGACAATTATGATCAGGGTTGGGTTCTCTGAGAATGTGAGAAACGTAAGAAGGGATACCCACCATTGGATGCATATTAGGATGAGATGCATCAAATCAATCTCTGTATCAAACGCGATTCATAAGTGGATTTTAGATTAAGGGTGATCAAAGGTCCAAATGTCTTCTTACGTTTCTTACATTAACTCTAGTTCTCACACGATCCTTCGCCTATATATGTGTGTATATAAATATATAGACACACACACACACTTGTGTATCGTAGTGTTTTTGATAATATAAAACTAATAAAAAAAGAATCATTGATACCAAATATATAGAGATTGTAAAAAATGATATCAAGGGTGTAAAATCAGAATTAAATCTCTTGAATCTTAATTAACTCATTGTCTTCATCAATTTTCAAAGAATTTGTGTTCGACTCTTAAGTGTATGGGAACGAGAGTAAATATTTATCTATTTAGACTATTAGTTGTTAAGTTTCCTTTGAAGTCTTAATTCCCGTACATAATTATCATTCATCTCTCAAATAATATATTTAAAAAAAACCTCACGTCTTACAAAATAACGCGTCATAACACGTCACAGTGGAGCTAAGCCTTAGAACGGAGCCATAGGGGTTAACGTAGCGGTGAATTCAAACCTTTTCCCACCAAGTTCTATTTCCGAATGACATATATCTGGTCGGTTTTGTTTTAGCTTGGTTTCTTACAATTTCTTGACCTTTTAGAAAAACATAAACCCGGTGCCGTCAACGAATGTTTCGGGACGATAAGCGAGCATGAAACATGACAAACGAAATAGAAAAACGAGAGGAATACTGAAAACATAGAGAGCCGATTGGCGAACCAGGCCGAGAAACTAAGACTTCATGCATAACAAACATTTAACAAACTGATATATTTAACATTCCGAGATAACTTAAAACTCTACCTTAAGAGGGATTAGTAATACCATTTGGCCAAATGTCACAATCATTAAAAGAAAGCCCGGCTACCGTAGAAAACCCGTGCACCACCGTCTTTCTTCTTGTTCTCGATCTCCACATTGTTTTCGGGTCGTTGAATAACATCCCCATGGTCTTCGGCTTCAATCTTTTCAAGATTCATCGGCAGCTTCATCTTCGCCAACGACTCTGTAAACTGTTGCATACTCCTCATATACATATCAACGATCTGTTGCTGCATTGCTGATTCTTCCTTTAGCTCTTTCTTTTCTCTCAATGTGTTCTCCTTGGTGTCTAGATTGGAAGGAGAAATATTTGATGATTCTGCGGCTAAAGTATTCTTTTTGTCTAATGAATCGGCCGAGTTCCTATCGTCACCCAAACTAGTCATTGTAGAACTGAAAAAACCCGAATTCTGGATGCTATCTTCAGGAGAAATGGAGCCAGAATTGGCAACCATTTCGTAGTCATGATCGCAGGCACCTAGGCAAAGAAAGGATCCCGTGCCTACCATTGCAGGCTTGGAAGCAGAACCATGCCCGAAATATTCAGAAACCATCTGTTGATTCTGTCTAACTACATTGATATCTGGGAATTCAATTCTGGAGTACTCAATTGGGTCAAGAGCAACCTCAGAGATCTTTCGATCTAACAATACAACTTCAGAAGTTATCGAGGAATTCCGGGCCGAATTGGGAGATGGATTAAAGGGTAGATTTGTATTGAAAGAAAGACTCAGTTTGACAGTACCAGCAGGAGAATGGAACAAATCAGTGGAAGAAAGACTAAAATCTTGGGTTAATTCTCCTTTCCCAACAACCAAAGAGATTGGAACCAAAGAAAACCCCAAGAGCTGATCTTCCATATAATTCTTGGCCCTGCTAAGCATCCACATTTCACACTTGAGAACAGCATCAAATTGGGTGATTTTGATCACCAGTTTCTCATTGAATTCAGGGTTTTTACCTCCACCATTGATGATCTTAGTTGAAAAGGTCTCATCAGGATTGTAAGTTAGGGAAAATTTAGCATAAACATCTTGGTTTTCGTAGATACATATGTTATGAATGTTTCTAGCATGATGAACATAGATTTCAAGAATCCCAGAGAACTCACTACTACCTTGTGTGGGGTTATACCTAAACCGAGTGGTTTGATCGTATGAATCCATACCAAAATTCTTATTAAAAAATGGAACTAATGGAATAAAAGCTAACTAACAGAATCAAGAACAGAAAGGGGTTTAGGATACATACTCTATACTGCAACAATTATGCTTGATTAAAGGGTGTTTCAAGAAAGACCCATGAAATCACTATTTGAATTGAACGGAAAGCAGATGTGAACTAACGGTTCCTTGAAGAAATTGAAGGTGGATTGAAGCAACAGCATATGAAACTGTAGTGAGAGAGAAAAGGAGACTTAGAATGGGAAATTTGAGTTGATTTTTTAGTGAGTGGGGGTAGTAGGTGGGGTAAAGAAAGGAAGAAAAATGATCATAAGTTATGATGATGTGAGAGTGGTTGTAATTGCTGTTCAAAATGTTGATGTTGTTTCTTTCTCCACTTAACCTCTGCTCATCTCTCTCTCTCTCTCTCTCTCTCTCTCTATATATATATATATATATACATATACTCTATATATATATATATAGAGAGAGAGAATATACAAATATATGTATATATATGTATGTATGTATGTATGTATAGAGCGAGAGATAGACTTTTTGGTAGGAGGTGGTTAAAGTCATTGCTTGATATTGCGGCCTCCACTTCCGGTGAGTCTACTCCGCGGCCATGACCCACAAATTCAAAGAACACAAAATCTGTATTTTCTTGGGAACACACAATTTACTGCAACTCCACACGGTTTGATGATCGGAAAATGGGGTGAATCAGTAAACCAAAACCCAAAATCCTGTTTAGTTTGAATAAATGGAATGAATATCGGGGATTTACATTTTAAATCTATTTCAATTTTTTATTTGATTTGTTGAATTGTTCGAATTTAAAATTCGATCATTTAAAGGCCGTTTATCAAACATTTATCTGGTAAGTGCTTACCGATAATATTTAATACTATTATTTACCTATCATATAAGATTTTAGTTTACCAAAACGACATCGTATATAACGATTTACCCGGTAAGCACTTATCATGGTAAGAGTCGTTGCTCTTACTTACCCGGTAAGAATCATGGTCCTTGTCTCGCTCTTAGCGGGTAAGATTTTTGGTTCTTATCATATTCATACAGTAAGGTAATATGACTTGTTAAGCGCTTACCCGAGTAAGTATTTGGTAAACGACCCCTAATCGAAATTTAACAAACTGAAATTCTTAGGGTTCTCGAGATTTATGGGATTTCGTAGGATTGTATAAATAAGATTTTAAAAAATGTTAAAAACATTTTTTTTATAATAACCGATTAATAAAAATGTAATTTAATTATTTTATAACTTTTTTATAATTTTTTTATAAATAATGGAATCCAATTTCATACCAAATCCTACAAATCAAACATTTTAATGATTTTAAATTAATTTCAATCCAAAACCTTCCATTGAATTCCAAATCTCTCAAAAACAATCTTAGAAACAAAACCAACCCAAAGTGTGTTTGAGTGTCCCTTAATTTTGGGAAATTTTGTCCATTGAGTTATCATTTATACAGTTTTTTAATAACTATGTAATTATGTAATGCCTAGTAAATCAATAATGAAAAAAAATAACAAAAATTTCAAGTACAAAATAGAAGTACATAATTTATTGGGAAATTTATTAAAATATTCACTTTTCAAGGTTGATTTCATTTCTTGATATTTTTTTAAGTTTAACAAAATAGTTATAAGTTCGTAAAACATATATCCGGAATTACGGACCCAACTAAAAGATTAAAAAAATTACAATTTTTACCCCTGTCTGCGAAAAAAATTGCATTTTTCACACAGGCTTGCAAAAAAAATTACATTTCTCACTTAAGTTAACAAAAAGTAATTATATTTTTCACCCAGATCCGTAAAAGAAATTGAAAATCATAGACCTATAGCTATTTTGGTAAACATTGTAAAGAAATGGCTAAAAGGTGAAATCAACCGGTAAAAATGACTATTTTAATTAATTTTCTTAATTTATATTTAAAAAAATTAAAATTACGATTGGACCGAACATCATGTCATTTTGAAGACTAGTAATGAAAATTTAACAAAAAATTCTAGTACAAAATAAAAGTACATAATTTCTATTTGTAAAAAGAATTAAAATTATTATGGATTGAACATGTTTTGTCATTTTGAAGATCTATTACACAAATATATATATATATATATATATATATATATATATATATGTATAGAGAGAGAGACTTAGATCAGACCAACATGTTTTCGTGAGATCCGTGATACCATTTTATGTTTTTACATTTGAAACTTCACAACAAAACATTGTAAAGGTAATCTTCATAGTGTTTTTGTTGTGTCGGTTTGGATTTTTTACTTTCACAGTATTTTACTGTGAAGTTCAAGTATAAAAAAATGGTCTCACAAATCTTTTATACATTTTTTTTGTTATAACAATGTAATTATGTAATGCTTCTTAAACCAATAATGAAAACTTAACAAAAATTCTAGAACAAAATATAAGTACATAATCCATAGGGAAATTTACTAAAATAGTCATGTTTCATCTTCTAACCATTTTCTTTTCAAGTTTAACAAAATAGTTATAGGTCCAGAAAACACAAGTCCCCCATTGCGGACCCAGCTAAAAGACAAAAAAAACTACACTTTTTGTGTAACACCTGAATTTTTCCATATTCTCTACTCCGTTCACGGCAGGTTTTCCGTCTCGTTAGTGAGGTATGCGTTTTCTTTTTTGTGGGTATATGTATTATATTAGGAACTTAGAACATTTTATTATGTTATCGGTTTTTCGTTAAAAAAACATATATATAGATGTGTATATATATATATATATAATTTATAGGGAAGGGCATGTTAGTTGTAGGGGGGGGGGGAGCTATTACCTTCTTATCCTACCCATAGACCCTCTTTACCTTTAAAAAAAAAAAGGGATTCCTTATCTTATTTTTAGGGTTTTACCTAATGTTTCTTAGATTGGGAAGAAAAGGAGAAAGTGAAGTAAAGGGAGGGGAAGAGCAATACTTGGAGGAAATCGTCCCTTCCACTTGGAGGAGAAATTGGACAGGTGAAGGAACAGCAGTAGCTGCTGGTTGAGAGAGAGGGGGGAGGAGCTGTGGTTTCATCAGGATAAGAAAACACTTGGGAAGAGGCTGCGGCCATCGGTGTGACCTTCTTAGCGCCGGCCAGGTCTATGCAGCGCCTCCGTTCCATGCACGTCTGCACCGTACCTCGGCCCACATCCACCTACTTTCCAGCCGTTCCCGTACCTTGGATCCATCTAGCGGCAGGCGTTGCCATGCCCTCTCGTGCAGCAAACAGCAAATAACGTCTGTGCTGTGTTGTTTTCTTCTCCTTTCTCGCCCGAACAGCAAACAACAAACAGCATCTGTGCTGTGTTGTTTTCTTTGTGTTCCTTGCCCAAACAGCAGACTACAACCTGCATCGTGGTTCACCAAACAGCAGACAACAACTCTGTTGTGCTTCGCTAAACACTAAATAGCAACGCGGCTGTGCTGTTTTCTTCGTTCTGCCCAACTCTGCTGCTGTTGCCTCTTGGAGTAGGAATGCAATCTAATTGTTTTGAGTTCCTACCGTCTATCGATTAGTTCCGGATTTCGGGATTTCCTTTAAATACTACAAGGTGAGTCCGTATCATCCCTCTTGTAAGACCATCAATTGTTTGTGATAAAGTGTTTCACTTGCCATATACTCTAATCTCTATTGAACTACTTAATTGGATGAAACGAGAATTTTGAGTCAAGGTGAGTAAACATGGAAATCCCACTGTTAAGGATAGGAGGAGTTTTAAAAAAGGGTTATTAGCTAAGAGAACTACACATTTCAAGTATTTATTACTGTAAAACCTTAAAATCCCTTATAATCTACACATGGAGTTCTTTCCTAGTAGTTAGGAAGTATTTTCGTTACCGTAGAATCCAAGTGAAATTATTATTGTCAAATATGTGTTTTTTTATGCTTAAGTTGTCGTCTTTATACTATCACCGGGATGTAATAAGACTTGGGCGTGCGGGGGGGGGGGGGTTATTATTTTGAGTGAAGAATGATGTAATTTGAATTTAGACATTGTGATTATTATGTAATCTCCAAAGTCATCTTCCCACCTCTACTCGGAAATAGGCATTGGGATTATTATGTAATTTCCGAGATAAAGGGCTTAAGATCACGACCGACTACATGACTGGCTTAGGTTGATGTCAATGGTGTTAAACCTATAAGTGATGCTCTGTAACGTTGATCTATGACTTACTTCGTGTTCCCTCATAATTAACGGCAAATCGGGACTCCCCCGTCATCTTCGGATGTTTTGACTCCACTTTGAGATATTTAAGTTTTACTGTTCCTATTCATGTTTAAAGTTACGTCAACTATTTATATATATGTAAATAAGTATTTTTTATGGTTACGTTAAATCTTGTTGTTTGGACTCACTAGGCGTAAGCCTAACACTTCTTCTTGAAATGGTTTGCTTAGCAGGTTTATTTAGCCGCGGGACTAATTTGGGTTGAGGGGGAGCGTGGTCTCGAAAAAGGCTTTTTGTGTAGCTAAAGCTTTTGGTGTTTTAGAGCGTTGCAATATTGATGATATGGCGTTTTTGTTGGAGACGATAGAAACACCCGTCCTTAATCTAGGCATAAGATTGTTTAGATTAATAGATTGTTACTTATCGCCTCTTTATTTGTTTTGTAAACGTTGTACCCTTTCCCTATGTTGGACAATTCATATTATACTCTAGTTTCCACTTTGCATTTCGGGGTTCATCTTATCTCATCAATTATCATTTTTTTGGGGGTGTTACAAGTTGGTATCAGAGCCCTAGCTTAAGCGAACTAGGTAAGGAACTAAGACGCCTAGACTTAAGCTGAGATCGTTGGCATTAATTTGTGAGATATGGGTAGGAACTTTTAAGATACGAGAGCCTTGGAGTCAACGGAGATACATGATTCATTAATTGCGACGACGGTGTAGAGGATCCTTATGTATAACTTATTCGAAATTTCACTTAGTTAATGCTATTTTGAGTATGTTATTACGTAAGCGTGCTCGAACCTACTGTTATTGCAAGGACTTATGAATGTGTCGGTACGTATTATGTTAGTTCCATATCTTCCAATCTCAATTTCTTTTTTTCACTCTCTTGTATGGCAGACTCAATGGTGAATACTCGGAGTAGACGGGATGCCTCACCGGAAGGTCATGCGGTGACTATTAGGTTCATCCTAGGCAAGACGCTTTGGAGGTAGAGTTGAACAGGTTCCCCAAGTTGACCTTGCCACCTCTAATCCTGTAATCGAAGAGGAAACCCTGGAGTCTAGATTGATGGGCTCAATGATGAATGCTATGAACAGGGCTATGGCCCAATAACAAGAATTCTTTATGAAGCTATTGGAGGACAAAGATGCTAATAACCGTAAGCATGAAACGGTTGCTGAGAATGTGACTATTGGGGGATCTGGGGGTACCGAAAATGGAATTCCAACCTAGGAGTTAGCTACAATTGAGGCGAGAAAAATGAGTAGAGTTTGCTCTTACAAGACCTTTCTATGTTGCAAACCACTAGAATTCAGAGGGTCGGATGATCCTATGGCGTGCATGAATTGGCTTTCGAGAGATCGAGCAAGCTTTCCGGGCGTGTGACTGCGATGAAGGGCAAAAAGTGAAATTTGGCTCTCAAATGCTAAGGGGTGCAGCTTTTACCTGGTGGAACATTGTCATCTCAACCGTGGAAGTTACAGAATTGGCCAAGATGAGTTGGGCCACGTTAAGAGAGAAGGTGATGGAATAATATTGCAATGAGCAAGAGATGGACTGTATTGAAGAAGAGTTCCGAGCCTTAAAGAAGGGGAATTTTTCGGTAAGAGACTACACTCGGCTCTTCATGGAAAAGTTAAACTTAGTGGGGCATGTGGCCTCAACGAAGAAGGAAACGATGAAAGCCTACCTCAAAGGGTTGCCTGCAGACATGATGGTGATGGTCAGGAACTCCAGAGCCTCCACCTTTAGGGAAACGATCGAAGAGGTAAAGGTCATGGAATCAGTTTATAATAAAGGAAAAGAAGAGAAAATGTTAAGTGGTGAGAAGAGGAAGTGGGAAGGACGTTATGCCCCTTCCAAAAGGCCAAATCATTTTAGCAGCAACAATCGCGGAACCTACCCTAGACAAGAGGCTCGGTGGTGTCCCAAGTGCCACAGTAAACATCACGGCCTGTGTATCACTAACCCTGCCCCCGCAAAATGCTTTAAGTGTGGGAAGGCAGGCCACACACGAAATGATTGTCCGATCAAGGGACCCATATGTTTTGGTTGCGGAGAGTCAGGTCACTTCAAGAATGATTATCAAAAGTTAAAAGCAGGGGAAGTCAAGGAAGAAAAGAGAGCACTCCAAAAGCAACCGTTCGAGCCTTTCAGATGTCGAGTGAATAAGCTAAGGCTTCGATGAATGTAGTGTCAGGTACGTTCCTTATTAACTCCATACCTGCACACGTGCTTTTTGATTCGGGTGCTTTATGTTTCTTTATGTCCACTACATTCCATCAACACTTGCATACGCCCCCTAGTGCACTAGAAGATGCGTTGATCATAGAGATAGCAAATGGTAGTCAAGTTTTGGTGCGTGAGATTGTTAGGAGTTGTGTGTTGGGAATTGAGGGAAAGGAATTTCGAGTAGACCTCATACCCATAGTTATAGGCGGATTCGATGTCATAATTGGGCTAGACTGGTTGGTAGAGAACCGAGAAGAAATCTTATGCTAAAAAAAGTTGATCCGAATTTCTTTGCCGGATGGGGACGCAGTTCTAGTTTACGGAGAAGGAAGGAAATGAAATGTAGTACTATCAATCAGAGCAAACGCACGTAAGTGTCTAGCTAAGGGATGCTCCTCGTTCATTGCTTATGTGTTGGATACCAAGCTAGAGAAAAAAGGAATTGAAGATGTGAAAGTGGTTAATGAATTTCTCGACGTATTTCCTGAAGACTTACCCGGTTTACCACCCGATAGGAAGGTAGAGTTTCGAATCGACCTTATTCCGGGAACCGCCCTAATTGCTAGAGCCCCTTACCGTTTAGCGCCATCCGAGATGCAAGAGTTGATGTCTTAACTACAAGACCTTCTTGAGAAAGGATTTGTTAGACCGAGTTCGTCATCGTGGGGAGCTCCAGTCTTATTTGTAAAGAAGAAGGATAGCACCATGAGAATGTGTATCGATTACCGAGAACTCAATAAGGCAACCGTGAAGAACAAATACCCTCTTCCTAGGATCGACGACCTGTTCGACCAGCTTCAGGGAGCAAGTTGCTTCTCAAAAATCGATCTTCGATCGGGGTATCATCAGGTACGAGTGAAAGAAGATGACATGGCAAAGACAACCTTTAGAACGAGATACAGGCACTATGAATTCTTGGTCATGCCTTTCGGGCTGACGAATGCGCCGGCGGTATTCATGGATTTGATGAACCGAGTGTGCCGACCGTTCCTTGACAAGTCAGTAATAGTGTTTATCGATGACATCCCTGTTTATTCCAGGGACGAATCGGATCATGAGCAACACCTTTGGGAAGTTCTCGAAGTGTTAAGAAAGGAGAAGTTATATGCAAAGTTCTCCAAGTGCGACTTTTGGTTGAAGAAGGTTCAATTCTTGGGTCATGTTGTCACTCAAGACGGGGTGAAGGTGGACGCATCCAAGATCGAGGCTGTGATGAATTGGGAACCACCAAAGAGCCGTCAGAGATCTGAAGTTTCTTGGGTCTGACGGGTTATTATAGAAGATTTATCCAAAATTTCTCCAAGGTCGCTTCTTTCTTAACGGCGTTGACTAGGAAGAATGTGAAGTTTATCTGGACTGAGAAACAAGAGCATGCCTTCAGAACTCTCCAAAAGAAATTATGTGAAGCCCCAATTCTCTCCTTACCATAGGGGTCCGAGGACTTCGTAGTCTTTAGCAACGCCTCGAAAATGAGGTTGGGCTGCGTCTTGATGCAAAGAGGAAAGGTGTTTGCCAACACATCGAGACAACTCAAAGATCACGAGAAGAATTATCCCACTCACGATTTGGAATTAGCGGCGGTGGTGTTCGCCTTAAAACTTTGGCGACATTACCTTTATGGTACCAAGTGCACACTTTTCACTGACCACAAGAGTTTGAAGTACATTTTCGATCAAAAAGAACTAAACATGAGGCAGCGACGTTGGCTTGAGCTGCTCAAAGACTACGATTGTGAATTACTATACCATCCGGGTAAGGCAAATGTAGTGGCGGATGCTTTGATTCGAAAAGAGTATGGTAGTGGGACGAAATCCGTGCTTACCAGGATCGATATCATGTCCAGCCTGATCGATCGGGTCAAGGTGGCACAATCAGAATCACTCCTGGAAGAAAACCTCAAGAGTGAAATAATGATGAAACAACGATTGCTACTGACAGAAGATGGTCGTGGCTTGAAGTTGTTTCAAGGGAGTATATGGGTACCCAAGATTAGAGGCAATCGCGAACTGTTACTAGAAGACACGCACAAGTCTAAATATTCTATTCATCCGGGTAGCACCAAGATGTATTGGGACTTGAAATTGACATATTGGTGGCCTATGATGAAGTTGGATGTGGCTCGGTACGTAGAGAGGTGTGTGACTTGTTTGCAAGTGAAGGCGGAGCACCAACGACCTTAGCCTTCAATCCTTGGAGATCCCCGAGTGGAAATGGGAGCATATTACGATGGATTTCGTGACCAAACTGCCGAAGAGTTCAAGAGGTCATGATACGATATGGGTAGTGGTCGATCGACTGACAAAGAGCGCCCACTTCTTGCAATGCAAGAATCGTTGCCAATGGACAAACTTGCTAGGTTATACATCGACGAAGTGGTCTCAAGGAACGGTATACCGTTATCAATAGTGTCAGATCGAGATAGCCGATTCACCTCCCATTTCTGGGGCGGCTTGCAGAAAGAATTGGGCACGAGGGTGAAGTTGAGTACAATTTACCATCCTCAAACCAATGGTCAGAGTGAGCGGACCATTCAAACCCTCGAAGACATGCTTAGATCGTGCGTTATCGACTTTGGTGGGAATCGGGATTCTCGCCTACCCCTTGTGGAGTTCGCCTACTACAATAGTTATCATTCAAGTATCGGGATGGCACCTTTTGAGGCGTTGTATGGACGAAAGTATAGGACTCCGGTGTGTTGGTTAGAAGCGGGTGAAAAACAATTCGCCGGTCCCGAGATCGTACAGGAAACGACCGACAAGGTGAAGTGTATTAGGGAGCGCTTAAAGGCGGCACAAGATCGACAAAAGAGTTACGCAGACAAGAGGAGCCGACCTATATAATTCCAAGTGGGCGACCATGTAATGTGAAAGTGTCCCCTTGGAAAGGTGTTATCCGTTTTGGAAAGCATGGGAAGCTAAGTCCTCGTTTCCTTGGACGGTTTAAAGTCTTGGTTATGGTGGGGCTTCAAGCTTATAAGTTAGAACTACCACCTGAAATGTCCGGAATCCACAACACATTTCATGTGTGTTACCTTCGTAAGTGTTTGGCAGAAGAAGATAGTGTGATACCACCTTCAGAAATTTATGTGGATGAGAACAACCGATGTGTGGAAGAACCAGAAGCCATCCTAGAGTGTAAGACCAAGGTGTTGAGGCACAAGGAGGTGGTCATGGTTAAGGTAAAATGGAAGCATCATCGAGGGTCAAATGTGACATGGGAAGCGAAAGAGGACTTGAAGAGGTGTTACCCTCACCTATTCGCGTGAATTAAAATTTCGAGGATGAAATTTAATCCAAGGTGGGGAGGATTGTAACACCTGAATTTTTCCATATTCTTTACTCCGTTCACGGTAGGTTTTTCGGCTCGTTAGTGAGGTATGTGTTCTCTTTTGTGGGTATATGTATTATATTAGGAACTTAGAACATTTTAT